CTGAGATTGTGGTGATGATTTCCTTGTGATGAAATCACATTGGACGGGTTCAACGTGTTGGTGGCTGAATGACTAGTGATGGACCTAATCGATGCTGCGGTGAAGTAGGGTGGGCAAAGGCGATATCTGTGTGTGTGTGTGAGGGAGAAACAGTATCGATTGTCGGGTCTGATTGTTCCCACACGAATTTCGCGTACTTTCCTGAATTACTTAGTTTTGGACGTGTTCAGCGCCTTGACTGCTGGATGGCTAGCGGGGCACTATTCGCCAGATTTCGGAAGGAGCGGTGATGAGTGAGATCTCGGCGATCTTGTGCTGCTGGGAACTCGGATGGTAGGTAGGTAGACACATTTTTATTTGAATTCGCAGAACCAAACGGGCGGTGTCACCCAATTGCATGGAAGCGAATGGAAACAGTAAAAATTAATATTGTAGGAAATAGCCTAACATGATAGCAGGGTGTAGTACAAAGCAAAGAACGCTCAGTCAATGAATAACGTTAACGTTAGAATACAACAACGGGGAGGCGGTAAACAGCACATGACTGGTACTGTGCAAACGTTCAAAGATTCCTATAGTGTTCAGTAGTTGGTGCTACTGCTAGCAAGACAGAACGGGAGGCAGGCTTGTTTGAACTGGTGGTACTGGGTAATACCACGCACGTCGGATGGCAGGGTGTTCCATAAAATGGACCCGCGAGCGGTTGGACGGTCGTGGCCGGCTTTGGAGGCAGATTTGGGCACTCGAAGGCCCAAGCTGCGTTGTGCGCGCGTTGTTCGAGTACTGGGATGCTCCAGGATGGAGCGGTAATGAGTGAGATCTCGGCGATCTTGGGAAGTGCTGATCTCGAACTTGATCGTTTTAGGCGCAGCAATGGTTGTAACATGGATTTTGCGTGCGAGGCATGGACAGGATGAAGGGAACCGTTGGTCAGAAGGCCCGCACATGAATTTCGTGGGACTCCCGTGATGTGTCTGTTTTGGTTGGCTTTCTCCCGTTGTGATTTTGAATATACCGATGTTGTCGTACACTGCGTTACCGGCAGAAGTGCTCTTCGGTTGGGAATTTGAAATTTGGCATTGACGTAGAGTCGAGGGGGCGAAACTTTGTCGATTCGTCTTTCGCTACCAGGACACTGTTCGCCAGAACTCGGATGGAGCGGTAATGAGTGAGATATTGGGAAGTGCTGATCTCGAATTTGATCGTTTTAGGGGCAGCGAAGGTTGTAACATGGATTTCGTGTGCGGCGCATGGACAGGAAGAAGGGAAATGTTGGTCAGAAGGCCCGCACATGAATTTCGTGTGACTCCCGTGATGGTTCTGTTTTGTTTCGGATTGAGCGGTAATGAGTGAGATCTCGGCGATCTTGGGAAGTAGTGATCTCGAACTTGAGTCGAGAAGGGTGAAACTATGTCGATTCGTCAATCGCTATCGGAGCACTGTTCGTCAGATCTCGGAAGGAGCGGTGATGAGTGAGATTTCGACGATCCTGCGCTGCTGGGCATTGGGAAGTGCACATCTCGAACTTGATCGTTTTAGGGGCAGCCAAGGTCGTAACACGGATTTCGTGGGCGCGGCATGTACAGGATGAAGAGAAAAGTGGGCCGGAAGACCCGCACATTAATTTCGTGAGACTTCCGTGACGGTTCTGTTTTGGTTTGCTTTCTCTCGTTGTATCGTTATATCGCTGTTGTCGTGCACTGGGTTAGCGGCAGAAGTGCTGATCGATTGGGAAATTTCAAATCTGGCATTGACGTAAAGTCGAGGAGGGCGAAACTACATGTGTGTGGATTCGTCATTCGCTGTCGGGGCACTGTTCACCAAATTTCGGAAGGAGGGGTGATGAATTGAATCTTGGCGTTGACGTAGAGTCGAGGAGGGCGAAACTATGTGGATTCGTCTTTCGCTATCGGGGCACTGTTCGGTAGAACTCGGATGGAGCGGTAATGAGTAAGATCTGGGCGATCTTGCGCTGCTGAGCATTGGGAAGTGCTGATCTCGAACTTGATCGTTTCATAGGGGCAGCGAAGGTCTTAACACGGATTTCGTGTGCGAGATATGGACAGGATGAAAAGAAAAGTTGGTCAGAAGACCCGCACATGAATTTCGTGTGACTCCCGTAATGGTTCTGTTTTTGATTGCTTTCTCTCGCTGGGATTTTGAATATACTGCTGTTGTCGTGCACCTCGTTAGCGGCAGAAGGGCTCGTCGGTTGGTAAATTTCAAATTTGGCCTTGACGTTGAGTCGAGGAGGGCGAACCTAGATTGATTCGTCAATCTCTATCGGGGCTGCCGCGGCATTGTTCGCTAGATCTCGGAAGGAGCGGTGACGAGTAAGATCTCGCCTATGTTGCGAATCTGGGCAGTGGGAAGTGCTGATCTCGAACTTGATCGCTTAAGGGGCAGCGAAGGTTGTAACACGGATTTCATGTGCGAGGCATGGAAAGGATGAGGAGAAAAGTTGGCCAGAAGACCCGCACATGAATTTCGTGTAATTCCCGTGATGGTTCTGTTTTGGTTGGCTTTCTCTTGTTGTGTTTTCGAATATACCGCTGTTGTCGTGCACGGCGTTAGCGGCAGAAGGGCTCATCGGTTGGTAAATTTCGCATTGTCGGGTGCGATGGTTTGCATACGAATTTCGCGTACTCTTCTGAATAACTGGGTTTCTGGTGATGATTTCCTTGTGATGAAATCAAATTCGATGGGCTCAACGAATGACTGAGTCTGTGCTGCTGATTTCCTTGTGATGAAATCACATTGCCTGGGTTCAACGAAGTGGAGGCTGCATGGCTGGTGATGGACGTGACTGATGCGGTGACGTAGGGTGGGTAAAGGCGATATCCATATGTGTGAGGGAGAAACAGGATCGATTGTCGGGTCCGATGGTTTGCACACGAATTTCGTGTGCTCTCCTGAATGACTGAAAATCTGGTGATGATTTCCTTGGGATGAAATCACATTCGATGGGTTCAATGCCTTGGCGGCTGAATAACTGGTGATTGTCTGAACCGATGCAGTGACATTGGGTGGGCAAAGGTGATATCCGTGTGTGTGTGGGAGAAACAGTATCGATTGTCGGGTCCGATGGTTCGCACACGGATTTCGCGTGCTCTCCTAAATATCTGAGATTTTGGTGATGATTTCCTTGGGATGAAATCACATTCGACGGGTTCAACGCCTTGGCGTGGGGGCTATGGGAGCACTGTTCGCCAGATCTCTGAACGAGCGGTGATGAGTGAGATCTCGGCAATCTTGCGCTGGCTGGCATTGGGAAGAGCTGATCTCGAACTACTTGATCGTTTTAGGGTCAGCGAAGGTTATGACACGGATTTCGTGTGCGAGATATGGACAGGATGAAGAAAAAAGTGGGTCAGAAGGCCCACACATGAATTTCGTGTGACTCCCGTGATGGTTCTGTTTTCGTTGGCTTTCTCTCGTTGGGATTTTGGATAAAGCGCTGTTGTCGTGTACTGCGTTAGCTGCAGAAGGGCTCATCGGTTGGGAAATTTGGTATATCGAACTAATATTACTTGATCGTTTTAGGGGCGGCGAACGTCTTAACACGGATTTCGTGTGCAATGTATGGACAGGATGAAGAGAAACGTTGGTCAGAAGGCCAGCACATGAATTTCGTGTGACTCCCGTGATGGTTCTGTTTTGTTTGGCTTTCTCTCGTTGGGATTTTGTATATACCGCTGTTGTTGTGCACTGCGTTTAATAGCGACAGAAGGGCTCATCGGTTGTGAAATTTGGCATTGACGTAGAGTCGAGTAGGGCGAAACTATGTGGATTCGTCATTCGCTATTGAGGCACTGTTCGGTAGATTTCGGAAGGAGCTGTGATGAGTGAGATCTGGGCGATCTTGCTCCTGGGCATTGGGAAGTGCTGATCTCGAACTTGATCATTTGAGGGGAAGCGAAGTAAAGATCAACACGAATAGGATGTTACAGAAGGTGAGTTTTCTTACTTCTACCATCTTGTCAAAATCAAAAGTACATGTTCTTCACATCGTTGTTCCCTTGATGAAACTGATGACCGACCTCCGCACGAGCAACACGACACGCAAGTAATTTCAGCGAATTCCAGCTACTTGCACGCTGAGCACTCATGTACGTCACGAGCGTTCCAAGTCCGAAAATCGCAAATCCCTATGGGGAAGTCACACTGTCTTTCGCTCAGGATCTGCATAAAGGGAAAAAGCCAGTGACACGAGCTTCTGGTGAACTACCCCGTCTTGGCCGTGCTCCGGAAGAGCCACAGTTCATGCTGGTGGAGTTGCGCATCTTTCCTAAAAGTCATCCGGACGAGTGTCGCGAAAATGCTCGTCAAAATTCAAGTCCAAGAATTTTCTAACTCCCTATGGTGTAAATGCGGAAATGCAACCAGAAACTGCCTCTGAGGATCGTTGCTGGTAATTATTTGCGTAGGTAAAGAGTGGAGTTAAAAATAGAAGTGGTATCCGCGTCGTCCTGTGAAAGGGCAGGAGGAGGCCTGAGGAGGGGCGACAAAAGCGTGGTGCCTGTGTGAAACGAGGTGTGCGCCGACCGATTTCTGAGCGAGCAACACGACACGCACAATAGTCAATAGGGCAGCCGCACGTAGAGTGTACGGGGTAGACGGAAGGCACGCGAACTCAACTAATACTTGACAGAATGATATTTATTATTATTCGGTGAAGATGTTCCGCGCAATCTGAGAATTTGCGCAATCTGCAGATTGCGCACCGGTACGCGGTGGTGCAAAATTCCAGTGTGTGGTTCGTGCAATCTGTGAATTTCTCTCAAAACCTGAAGAGCACAGCATTGTGGGGCACAGTGTTGTCCGTGGAGAGATTGCTGTGATTGCCGGCAGGGAGCCGCGGGCGAAAACCCTGACCGGCGCGCCCGGGTGTCATGACTCTCTTGTTGCCATGTTCCGGAAAATGGCAGCCACTTTCGCATTTTCTATTGTTAGTATGTATGTTTTTTACAAACAAACATAGATAGAAACATACCAGGCAGTAGATAAAAATTAGAATTTACTACTTTACATTTTACTCAATTATTATTGTTACATTGTCACAGTGTGATAAGATGGGCGTACCACTACGGGCACTAGCTGCAGGTCGATGTTGCGAGCTCGATGGTCGCTTCCTAGATCCGCTATCGCGCGCGGAGTAAACCTGCAATGTCCTCAGTTGCAGAGAGCAACAGAGACATAGTATCATTCTAGAACTGTCTGGCGAGCAGTGGTAACATCGAGTCAAAGTCGCAGGAAGAGCTAACAAGAGGGCCAATTGGAAATTTATTGTTTTCACATAACGCTGGAAGCTCGATGGTGCACGCCGGCGGTCTATTCGTTGGTGGCAAATTCTCAGCGCTAATTTCGTTCAGCAACATCCGGAGGAACGCTACGAATACATGGGCTGGGAGTTCGAGGTGCAGCAGGACGAACTATTTGACTGCTTAGCGGAATGCCGGAAAGAAGTAAGTGTGCAGTGTAACGCCGAACGTCATGTGAATTGAATATTTAGTCATGCAGCCGGTCAGCAACTGCCAGTGCAAAGCTTTGTTTCCGGGTTGCTATGCAATATTTGAGTGTAAGATTCTGTGCATTGACTGACATTCACGATTACCATAAAATCCCGCCAGAGCACCCCAACCTCTGCGACCCTTCTAGTACTGTCGTGGACATGGAAATCCAGTTGATTGACGCGGGGCCGGCGCCCTCAGCGCGTACAGAACGCTGCGTGCAGTGCACAAGTTGATCAGATGCGACCAGCGCGCTGCAGCGCATAATTGCATGTGTGTACCGCTTATCTACGGCTGCATGGCCAGCGCCCTAGGGCCGCTAGACGTGCGGCGACCGTGCGTGTGTGTGTGTGGGGGGGGGGGGGGCAGGGGGCGAATTTTTCTTGCTACACTCAGTACGTTGTGAACAGGTACTCATCCTACGAGAACTGTGCGTGCGTCTCGTACACCGACCAAAGGTCAAGAGCAGAGAGTCGTACAAACCGGTCGAAACCTAGGGTTTGTGCGATCCCTGGTCAAGAGGGTGTGAACCGTTGCGTGCATTTCCAACCGGGTCGAGCACGTGTATGCAGTGCGGTACGGCATGACACTTCACCGAGTCATACGATTATGCAATCATTATCACTTCCCTGACAAGAAGTCGGGGAGGGGCGCATGGAAGAGATGGGGCGCTCTGGCAGCGGGATTTTATGCTACTTGTAAAGTTTTACTTGTAAGTGGAGGCAATGACGTCATCGGGAACACTATGTAAGTGGAGGCAATGACGTCATCGGGAACACTATGTAAGTGGAGGCAATGACGTCATCGGGAACACTATGGCAAGGTACTGCTCCACAACTAAGCCCGAGGTCCATAGTGGCATAGGCCTCAGGTCTGAGCTGTCAGTCGTACATGTACAGCACTGCTCAATAAATGCAGATGAAGCGAGTGAATGCCACACTGGGCGCTGTGCAGCCCTAGACCTGCAAACACTGGCATGGTGAACTGGTGCAGAGCGCAAAAACTTGATTTATGTGGTCGTAGTTCACCGATCATCACTGTACTATTAAAATGCTATTCTTGCACACGCTTCCATGACATTATCGTTGGCCTACTCAATGCTTTGCGATACATGCTTTTCGACCTTCCTCACCGCATGGAAATGAATCAGAGCAGCACGGTGCATTTACAGGTAATCAGAGTAGCGCGGTGCATTTAGCGGAGATCAGAGTAGCGCGGTGCATTTAGCGGTGATCAGAGTAGCGCGGTGCATTTAGCCGTGATCAGAGCAGCGTGGTGCATTCAGTGGTGATCAGAGTAGCGCGGTGCATTTAGCGGTGATCAGCAGAATGCTGAATCAGAGCACCACGTTACATGTAGTTTAAATTCATCATATCAGGATTGGTCAAACGGAGCGCAAAGGTGTGATTTGGTTACTGAGCCAGTGGAAATACCGTAAAATACTGCCAGAGCGCCCCTACCTCCACCACCCTTTGAGTAGGTCCAGGTGGAGAGGGACGGATAGGCGAGTCCTACTTTGCTGCATTCAGTACTACATGAAAAAGTGCTCACCCTACTCAAACTGTCCGTGCATCTTGTACACCGACCAAAGGTCAAGAGCCAGGAGTCTTACAGACCCATCAATACTAAGGGTTTGTGCGATCCCTGGTCAAGAGGGTGGGCACTGTTGCATACATTTCCAACGGGGTCGAGCTCGCGTCTGCAGTACAGTATAGCATCACAGAGTCATACAAGGATACAATCAATCACTTCCCAGACAAGAAGTCAGGGAGGGGCGCACGGGAGAGACGGGGCGCTCTGGTGGATTTTACGGTAGTAATTTTTGATAGGTGGTCCGGCCATACGATAGTTGCTCATATACTCTCTGTATGATACAACAGTTGTGTGATGTCCACCACTTGTTGTATGATACGACAGGTACACATTATTAGTACTGAGTCAACTCTAAATAATCACCTAGGTAAACCAAAAGGTGGTGCAACCATGTTATCCTGACCAACCAGGCTAGTTGCAGAGCCAGTCTTGATTGTCTCAAACCAAGTACTAGATAGTTTGCCTTACCTACAAATCTATTTCATTCCTTGGTGCTGACCGCTTTAATGCGCTTCCCTAATCCCTTTTCTAAGCACTCGCAGACTCCATTGCAGCCATTCACACATTATAGGGTACCTCACTTCAAACTCTCCAACTACGGTTTCTTCGCTGCATAAGTTCACTTCACTTCCAAAAAAATAAATAATATTAGATACAAATGGAATTCACCAAATTCCCACTGAAGATGGGCCATGCCCGAAAATTTGGTGAATTCCATTTTTTTTGGAAGTGAAGTGAACTTATGCAGCGAAGAGACCGTAGTTGGAGAGTTTGAAGTGAGGTACCCTATAATCCCTAATCCCTTTGCACAAATCATATTCCCAATTCATTTCGCCAGGAACTTAACCCTTTAAGAGCCACAGGAAATTTTCAAAATTGTGCATTTTTTCGTGTTCTTTGGATCATAGCTTCAGTTCTACTCACTCAATCCTCACAATCTAGGGCTTCCTGGAAAGGTCTCCGCGAGAGGAAGAGAATGAGGTCGATCATGATAGCCAGCACACCGTTTCGCCAGGAACTTAACAAATTCATTCATCTTGGGCACCCTGTAAGAAGACCTTAGGGTCTGTTGGGATTGCCCAAGTAAAATAATAAAATACAATACGATACAAATACCTAGGCTGAACACGGTGCAAGTATGAGTCACTGTACTGTATGGATACTTCAAGTATAATTATGCAGCCAGAAAAATTTGGGGAATGCTGAGAATTAACTTCCGATTTGGAGCAACTCAGAGTGATGGGAATGTGTCATGTTCCTTGCATTTGGCTAGGAGGGGGGGGGGGGGGTGCTGTGATCTGATATAATTATGTGTAGAAATGATCTAGGGCATGTTACAGGTCCTCCCTCATTATAACGAGTCCGGTTAGTACATAAACCCCGTTAGTAAATAGAAATCTGAAATCCCCTGGCGAAACGTGGTCTATACAACTGTTTACAGGTCCGGTTACAACATAATCCGTTAGTACATAAAATCCGTTATAACGACCTTTTGCCCAGGTCCCTGGAGTGCCAAACCCTCAGTATAAGATAATATTGACCATGCAGGACCAAGGCCAAAACATGTAGGATAAAGCAGAACGAGGAAACGTATGATGTCTATGTATTCGTGAATATGGGCGATCCTTTGCATCCAAGGAAGAGTTATGTTGTAGATTTTCAATTATCTTATAAAGAGGTGAAGCATCGATAATTATGTTGTATCGAGGGTAGCCCCGGTAAGTACGAAGTAGTGCCTATTTCACCTTTAGCTGCAAGTCCTGCTACAAGATAAGTCTCGTTATAAGATAACTTTTTCGATGGCCCAGAGATTATCTACTAACGAGGGAGGACCTGTACTTAGATTTTTGGTTTGCTATTAGGCCGCTTGCACTCGTAGGCAGTGCCTCAGGAAATTTGACCCTGCTGTAACTGGCTTGAGTTTCAAGTCCGGATGTAGGGGCAAAAAGCCCCAAACTAGGGGTAGGTTATTTTCAGGGTTCATCAGCCCTGGGCAGGTCGTTTATGTCCATGTTGCCGCTGTGAATAATCGGAAAGGTGAGAAAAGGTGAAATTTGGACCATTTGTGCGGACCTGTTCTCTTCAATGTACCTGTGGGTAAATGGGCCCAGCATCAATGTGGATGCAGGGATTGTTTAAATATTTGGTTTGCTAGTAGGCCGCTTGCACTCGTAGGCGGTGCCCGAGGAATTTTGAGTGTGATATAACTGACTTGAGTTCCAAGTCCGGATGCACGGGCAAAAAACCCCAAACTTGGAGATAGGTTGTTTTCAGGGTTCAGCAGCCCTGGGTAGGTGGTTTATGACAATGTGTGTCATTTCTGTTCTGTACTACCCTTTGTGTGCCTATCGCAGGAATTCAGGGTGGCCACTGTCCATGTTGCAGCTGTGACTAGCCGGAAAGGTGAGAAATGGTGAATTTTTCAACATTTGTGCGCATTTGTTATCTTCAATGTACCTGTTGGTAATGGGACCCAGCTGCAAAGTGGGTGCAGGAATTACTTAGATTTTTGGTTTGCTAGTAGGCCGCTTGCACTCGTAGGCAGGGCCCCAGGAAATTTGACCGTGCTGTAACTGGCTTGAGTTCCAAGTCCGGATGTAGGGGCAAAAAGCCCCAAACTTGGGAGTAGAATATTTTCAGGGTTCATCAGCCCTGGGCAGGTCATTTATGACAATGTGTGTCATTTCTGTAGTGCACTACCCTTTGTGTGCCTATTGCAGGAATTCAGGGTGGCCACTGTCCATGTTGCAGCTGTGACTAGTCGGAAAGGTGAGAAATGGGTGAATTTTGGACCATTTGTGCGCATCTGTTCTCTTCAATGTACCTGTAGGTAAACGGGCCCAGCTGCAAAGTGGGTGCAGGAATTGCTTAGATTTTTAGCTTTGTTCGTTTCTTTGCGTTTGTATAACTGCAGGATCCAGTAGCCCAGAGCTGCCGTCAGCGACACATAACCAAACACTTGAAACAGACACGACACAGCCAGAGGCAAAGAAGACCAGACAACGTCCATCATTGTACTTCCCCATGATGGCTTCATTTGTACTATTGTGTAGCGTGATAGTGTTTCTTCAGACTGGAGCAGACCCTGTTGTTCTTGCTGTAGCTACTGGAGCTATTCTGGCTGGTGTATTTCTGACTTCATCGTCCAGCAAACACACACATGAACATCAACACAAACTGAAACACTCTCCTGTAAAGTCTTCTGCAAGTCTACTGTCAAGTAGTAGTAGCAGACAGCAGACAGCAGACAGCAGGTGATCAGCTGATTTACCTGCTGCTTCTCACCGGCCAAGTGAGAGCTGGAGCTGGAAGGCCGGAATGGCTGCTGGAATGGTTGCCGGTATGCCGTTCAGAGCTGGCTCAAAAGTTGCTGGGAACGGTGGATGATGCTGGGAATGCTGGGAACGGTGGATGATGCTGAAAATGCTGGGATCAGTGGATGATGCTGAAATGACATACATGGTTGGTAATCGAATTGCTTCCATGGCTTCTTCTGCTAACTTTTAACATGCCACTCTTGCTGCTGCTGCTTCTGCTATTGCTGCTGCTGCTTCTGCTATTGCTGCTGCTGCTGCTATTGCTGCTGCTGCCAGGGTGGCACTGGCTGATGCTGTCAGCACTGTCACTGCCGCTGCTGTACATACGCACATGCAGGCATGTGAGGTTTGATGTTCGGATATCTGTAAAGAGTGATGTACACATGCAGGCATGTGATAATGTGTGTGTGTGTTGCTGCCTGGCTTTGTGTGCAAGTCAGTCAGCGTATCCACTGTTTGTTTGGACATAGACCATTGTCATGCCAGGCACGTCTAGCTCAGCTTCTGATGCTCTGTTTGCACCTGTCAATCAAACACTAGTACCTGATAGATACATGGTTCTTCAGCCACCGACATTTCCATTTCCTCGACGGCTTGATCAGGAGTTAAAACTACCTGTGAATTGAATTCTGTGAAATGGATGATTTGTTCTGACGAGCACTATGTGCATGCCATTGCAGTCAACAAGTGCACTTTGGACATGGAATTGTTGTGACTAGTGATGAAAACTCTGTGATGCGGTTACTGCATCATTCATCATACCAAGATAGGCTGCTGCGGCAGTACTCATAGAGTATATTTTGACCATCACTACTAGTACTAGCACTAACACTAGCATTGCAGCACTGATGGTCATCGAGTCAAGCCCTTATCACTGTACACACAATTTGTAGTGCATCCTGTGTCAGTGTTTCAATGTGCGTGTGTGTGTGTGTGTGTGTGTGTGTGTGTGTGCGCGCGTGTGTGTGTGCGTGTGTATGTGTGTATGTGTGTGTGTGTGTGTGTGTGTGTGTGTGTGTGCGTGTGTGTGCGTGTGTGTGCGTGTGTGTGCGTGTGTGTGTGTGTATGTGCGTGTGTGTGCGTGTGTGTGTGTGTGTGTGTGTGTGTGTGTGTGTGTGTATGTGTGTGTGTGTGTGTGTGTGTGTGTGTGTATGTGTGTGTGTGTGTGTGTGTGTGTGTGCGTGTGTGTGTGTGTGTGTGTGTGTATGTGTGTGTGTATGTGTGTGTGTGTGCATGTATTGAGTACACTCAGTCCTTACTGTGTTCACTGTGTTTTCTGTGTGTATTCTGAGTCAGGGGGATTCCTGGGTCAGTTGTACTGTGGCTCACTGCCACTCTCACAGTGTTTATACTGGACTGTCCTAGTAGTTTATTTCTGCTGCCGATACTGCTGCCACCACACCGCTGCTATGGTAGCTGTCATCGTCGTAATCATCATAATCGTTGTCATTGTTGTTTTGCAGTGTAACGTTATCGTTAACACATGTATATCTAGCATCTCCGCGTGTCACTAGTGCACAGTGCGCTGACACCTTTCCCCTTTTAAAATTCTCCTTTGTGAGATGAAAGCCCACAGTCATCGGAACCAAATGTACACCAAACGTACCGTCATTGTGTTCATGTGGTGGTGGTGGCAGTGGTGGTGGTGTTGGCGGTGGTGGTGGTGATGGCGGTTGTGTGATGTGAGGCCGATCCGGTCTAGGTATCTCAACACTGCTGTGTTGGAACGCTTCCGCTATCTGACTTGCGGCAATAGAGCTCAGCTCGTGACCCTCTTGACGGATGTGGAGGCTGTGGGGAATTGCAGGAGGCAGCCAGGAAGTCGTACAAGCAACTTGTTTGGCAGCGAATGACGGCGTCGCGGGAGGTGATAGAAGGACTGATGTAATTTGTGGACGCAAACTGAGGCACTCGGATAGGATGTTGACAGAGGGTTACCATTTTGTCAAATTTAAAAGTACATGTACTTCACATGGTTGTTTCCTGGATGAAACTGATGACCGACCTCCACACGAGCAACACGACGAGCAAGTAAGTTCAGCGAATGCCAGCTGCTTGTACGCTGAGAACTCATGCACGTCACGAGCGTTCCAAGTCCGCAAATCGCAAATCCCGATGGTGAAGTCACACTGTTTTTCGCTCAGGATCTGCCTAAAGGAAAAGCCAGTGACACAAGCTTCTGGTAAACTCACCCGTCTTGTTCATGCTCCGGTGGGGCCACAGTTCGTGCTGGTGCAGTCGTGCATCTTTCCTAAAAAAACATAAGACTGAGTTATCCTGACGAGTGTCGCCAAAAGTTTCGTCGAAACTTTCTAAGTCCGAGAATTTTCTAACTCCCTATGGTGTGAATACGGAAAGGCCGCCAGAAATTGCTTCTGAGCATCGCTGGAGGCAATTTGCGAAGGTAACGGGTAGAGTGAAAAATTAGACGACCTCTGCTACGCTTTAGCTCTGGTAAGTCAAGTCGTAGAAGATCCAAAATGTGCAAAGTAATTTTCGAAGGGTCGATAGATGATGGGGTGTGCAGGTGCAGTGCTACCTATGAGAGGGTGGGTGGTTGAGTTGCCGGTCAGGAGCAGGGTGACCTCGACCAGTGCACAAGCTGATCCGAAGGTTTGCACACGAATTTCGCGTGCTCCCCTGAATGACTGAGTTGTTGGTGACGATTTCGTCTGGATGAAATCACATTCGACGGGTTGCACGCCTTGGCGGCTGAATGGCTGGTGATGATGGTAACCGATAGGGTGGGCAAAGGCGATATCCGTGCCTGTGTGTGAGAAACAGTATCGATTGTCGGGTCCGATGGTTCGCACACGAATTTCGCGTGCTCTCCTGCATGACTGAGATTGTGGTGATGATTTCCTTGTGATGAAATCACATTGGACAGGTTCAACGCCTTGTCGGCTGAATGACTAGTGATGGACCTAATCGATGCTGCGGTGAAGTAGGGTGGGCAAAGGCGATGTCCGTGTGCGTGTGTGTGTGTGAGAAACAGTATCGATTGTCGGGTCTGATTGTTCCCACACGAATTTCGCGTACTTTCCTGAACTACTTAGTTTTGGACGTGTTCAGCGCCTTGACTGCTGGATGGCTATCGGGGCACTATTCGCCAGATTTCGGAAGGAGCGGTGATGAGTGAGATCTCGGCGATCTTGCGCTGCTGGGAATTAGGAAGTGGTGATCTCGAACTTGATCGTTTTAGGCGCAGCAATGGTTGTAACATTGTTTTTGCGTGCGAGGCATCGACAGGATGAAGGGACCCCATTGGTCAGAAGGCCCGCACATGCATTTCGTGTGACTCCCGTGATGTGTCTGTTTTGGTTTGGCTTTCCCTCGTTGGTATTTTGAATATACAGCTGTTGTCGTGCACTGCGTTAGCGGCAGAAGTGCTTATCGGTTGGGAATTTGAAATTTGGCATTGACGTAGAGTCGAGGGGGCGAAACTATGTCGATTCGTCTTTCGCTACCAGGACACTGTTCGCCAGAACTCAAATGGAGCGGTAATGAGTGAGATCTTGGGAAGTGCTGATCTCGAACTTGATCGTGTTAGGGGCAGCGAAGGTTGTGACATGGATTTCGTGTGCGGGGCATGGACAGGACGAAGGGAAATGTTGGTCAGAAGGCCCGCACATGAATTTCTTGTGACTACCGTGATGGTTCTGTTTTGTTTCGTATGGAGCTGTAATGAGTGAGATCTCGGCGATCTTGGGAAATGCTGATCTCGAACTTGATCGTTTTAGGCACAGCAATAGTCGTAACATGGAATTTGCGTGCGAGGCACGGACAGGATGAAGGGAACCGTGGGTCAGAAGGCCCGCACATGAATTTCGTGGGACTCCCGTGATGTGTTTGTTTTGGTTGGCTTTCTCTCGTTATGATTTTGAATAATATTATACCGATGAGGCGCAGCAATAGTCGTAACATGGATTTTGCGAGCGAGGCATGGACAGGATGAAGGGAACCGTCGGTCAGAAGGCCCGCACATGAATTTCGTGGGACTCCCGTGATGTGTCTGTTTTGGTTTCTCTCGTTGTGATTTTGAATATACCGATGTTGTCGTACACTGCGTTACCGGCAGAAGTGCTCATCGGTTGGGAATTTGAAATTTGGCATTGACGTTCAAATTTGCCATTTGATGTAGAGTCGAGGGGGCGAAACTATATCGATTCGTCATTCGCTATAGGCGCACTGTTCACCAGATCTCGGAAGGAGCGGTGATGAACGAGATTTCGGCGATCTTGTAGTGCTGGGCAGTGGGAAGTGCTGATCTCGAACTTGATCGTTTTAGGGGCAGCGAAGGTTGTAACATGGATATCGTGTGCGGGGCATGGACAGGATGAAGAGAAATGTTGGTCAGAAGGCCCGCACATGAATTTCGTGTGACTACCGTGATGGTTCTGTTTTGTTTCGGATGGAGCTGTAATGAGTGAGATCTCGGCGATCTTGGGAAGT